TAATCTCATTGACTGCCTTTTGGGGCAGTTTGGAATTATTGACCCTCATTAATGGACAGGGAAGTTGAGATTTAGAAGGGTTAGGTGACTTGCCAGAGGTTACTCAGCTAATTAGTGATAATATTGGGAGCAGAATTCAAGTTTCAAGACTTCTATTGCTCTATTGACCATGTTACTTCCATGACTGTCAATGGTCAGATCTTAGTGAAATTCACAGTTTATCTCTATATAGTCATATTTTTAAAAACTCTTATATAATACAGGTGTCAGGGATCAAAAATAATACTAGCAATGTATGGTACCCATTAAAATGAAAAAGACATACTCTACTTCATTCATTCAAACAATAATCAAACACTTGAGTATGTGCCAGGCATTGTATCTAGTATTCGATTACATCCAGCTGTATTAGTTATCAATTGTTGCATAAAAAATTATCCCGAAATTTAGTGGCTTAAAACAACATACATTTAAACATTAATTATTTCACAGTTTCTGTGGGCCAGGAATTTGGGAGCAGCACAGCTGAGTGTTTCTAGCTCAGGGTCTCTCTTGAGGTTACAGTAAAGATGTTGACCAGGGATACATGCAGTCATCTGAAGGCTTGACTTGGGCTGGAGAATCTGCCTCCAGGCTGACTGGCATGGCTGTTGTCAGGAGGCCTCAGTTCCTCACTGGCTGTTGGCTGGCAGCCTTAATCATCATGTGGGCCTCTCCGTAAGTGGCCTGAGTGACATAACTCTGACATGACAGCTATTTCACCCAGAGAGAGAATAAGAAGAAAGCTGGTACACATTTCTCCCCTCAGAAGTCACACTACATCATTTCTGCCACATTCCATTCATGAGAACAAGTTACAACACAGACCAAACTCAAGGTGAGGGGAATTAAGCTCCACCCTTTGGAGGAAGAAGTATGAAAGAATTTGTGGACATATTAATATTTTAAAACTACAACACTATCGAGTGAATATAATTTAATTTACCAAGTTTAACTTAATTATTATAAAATAGTTTATTAATCTATTTGTAATATTTGGGTATTTAAAGGAAAACTAAATCTATTAGAGAAGAGAATGTTTTGTTGTTGTTTATTTACATTTTCGGTCCCCATTTTCATCTCCGCCCATTAAAAAATTCCACAGATTGGCTGGGCACTCATGCCTATAATCCCAGCACTCTGGGAGGGTGAGGCAGGAAGATTGCTTGAGCTCAAGAGTTCAAGACCAGCCTGAGCAAGGGTGAGACCCTGTCTCTACTAAAAATAGAATAATTAGCCAGGTGTGGTGGTGCACTTATAGTCTGAGCTACTTGGGAAGCTGAGACAAGAGGATCACTTGAGCCCAGGAGTTTGAGGTTGCAGTGAGCTATGATGATACCTCTGCATTCTAGTCAGGGTGACAGAGCAAGATGTTATTTCAAAAAAAAAAAGAAAGAAATTCCATATATAGGGATAAATAAATGATGACTTGACCTATCTTATATATACTAGGAATTGCATTCGATACTTATAACAGAAAACACAAATAACAAAACCTTCTATAGGAGGGATTTATTTTTCCTTATGTAACAAGTCCAGAAGTGGGCAGTCCAGAGCTGCTAAGCTGGTCCTCCTTCGTGAACCCAAGCACCTCTGGCTTCTTACACTATTAATAGTGTGTGTGTGTGTTTTGTTAGTATGACTGAAATATGGCTATTCTACCTACAGCATCACGTCCTTGTTCCAGGTTAAAAAAAAAAGAATGGCTGTAGGTCAAATGGCTAAAGGAATATTTCTTCTGTAAAGCTTTCCTTGAGCCCCTCCTAGAGAAATCCACTTTTATTTCATTGACAGGTCACATGGCCCACCATGACTTACAAGAGTCTGGGGAGGGGAACATTTTTATTATAACTGGACAGAGTATCACCCTGAAAAAATCAGCCTTCTGGTAGTAAGGAAGAAAGGATATTGGTTTAGACAACTAATAATGTCTTCCTTCCTGCTCTAGGAGCTTTCACACATATTATTAAACAATAGACACCAGACAGTAATACTCTTCAAGGTTTATCTGTTTCAAATATGTTGCAAATGGGAGAATCTGGTTTTGAGTTTAATGGGGCTCAGAAAACAGTATCCCCAAATGACAGCCTGAGAAGCAAAAGTTCTTCTCTGACTTTCCCTTGTCCTCCTGCCTCACAGTGTCATTCTTTCCTGAGACTAGCCATAGAAACTAGAATCCCTCTACCCCAAGGTGGGTCATAAAAACCAATCCCCTTGTCCTGAAACCCAGACATAAAACCTAAAATTCCATGTAAAAAGTGGCCATAAAGAAATTATCTGACATACCTTATTTGACTATAGGTCATAAGATCCCCGCCCCAATTCCAGAGAGGGCCATGTCCCACAACCAGAAGGAAGGAACGCATGCCCAGGAAGTCCAACAAGAATCTTGACAGACAGGCCTTGCTGAGTTCCCCAACTCAGCCTGCTAGCATTAGATCATACCAATCATATTTCTACATGGTTGTCCACGCTTTGTCAAACGTTAAGCATAAAAATAGACAATTTCCTCTGTATCTCTGATTCTTCATTCTGAGGGTTCCCATATATACACATTAAAATAAATTTGTATCTTCTTCCTGCTATTAATCAATCTGCCTCTCGTCAGTGATTTTTAAGCAAACTTTAGGGAGGCAAGAGCCTTGCTCCCTGCAAGTCTTACATATGAAGTATATTCTTTTCAAAGTAACTGCTTTTATTTTTCTAGTTGTTAATGTTGAAGAATTGGCCGATGTTAATATCACTTCTAGGAATATGTCCAAGGATATAATTGCACAATCGTGCCAAATTCTAAGCATAAGAAAGTTCATCAAAGATTTGTTTATAGTAGTAAAAACTTGTAAAGAGATAATGTCAATCAGTAACATTCTGGCTAGATAAATGATGGTACATTCACTTAACAGACACTACTGCAACTATAAAAAATTATGTTATTCATGACATATTGTTCAGTGAGAAAAGAACTGTGCATATAATAAAAGTCAATTTATGGAATAATGTATTTATATGTCTTTATGTGTTTTTTAGTCTTAGAGAGATACCTGGAAAAATGTAACACAAAATTTTTAAAACGGTTATCTCTGTGGGATTTGGACAAATTATAATTATTTTCTTTGCATTTTAGTTTGAATATTTTAAAATTTGTTTGACCAAGCATGTATTGTTTTCATAAAAATAATAGCCACTAGTAGACTGCCAGCTACTCAGAAAGCTGAGACATGAGGACTGGAATGCTTGAGCCAGGAGTTCCAGGCTATAGTGCACTATAAATGCGCCTGTGAATAATCACTGCACTCCAATCTGGGCAAAATTGATCCAGTATTGTTTACATCAACATGTCTTCTTGCCAGTAACTTTCCTAGATATGGCTGTGGCTGAACTTACTTTGGAAGGGTTTCTTATCTTTGCTCACTTGAAAAATGTTATTCCTTATTCATTGTAACTTTCAATGAAATTGAAATGAGATAAAAGAGTTCTGACTTTTGTTTTGTTTTCTACTGGGAACAGTGTGACCTCTGGAAGGATCTCCTTTCCCTTTTTTACAATGGATGGAAGGATATTGTGGAAAGCTGTGGAGGGTGCGTGAGGCTAGGCAATAACTGTACAGGAGTTGGGGAGAAGAGGATGGAGGTAGGGATATATGGGAGGGAAGTCTGGATGCATCAGCCAGGGAAAGAGCACCAATCTAGACGTCAGGATACCTGTACTTCTATTTTAGCATGGGCCTATCAGTTTATCTTTCTGACCTCAGTTTTCTCATCTGAAAAATGAGATGTTTCGATTAGAATCACTAGATGTGCTTTAAGTTTTAAAATTATTTTGGATTTATTGATGGTATGTTCTGAGAAACTATACTAGAGATGAACCTAAGCAAATTAAAGAAAAAATAACAATAACTAATATATGTTGCTTATTATTTCTCTCGTGCATGTTGTTAAGTAACTTGCCAAGGTTACACAGCTAGTAGGTGGAGGGACCAAGATTCTAGCCCAGGCAGTCTGATTTCAGAGCCCATACTCTTTAACAGCTATCATGGAGTACTAAAGAACGGCCTAAGTAGGATATTTAAAGTGTAGCTTTCCCATCCTAGAGCTTGGCCTTGTAGATGATGGTTAAAGCCAGTAAGTCCTAGACCATACTCCCACCTCCTATGGTCGAGTTGCCTCAACAGGTGGCAGCCCCCTCCCTCCCTCTATTCCAAAGAGAGTTTCATCATTTATAGCCCTTTTGCCAACAAAAGGACATGCGTTTTGCAAAGCCCTTAAGAAGCTCCTCCTGCCTTGTTGGACAGACCTGAAGTACCGACAGAATCAAAGACCATGTATGCCTACAGGAGGCTTTCTGGTGTCACTATCTGGGTTTTCAGCTCTTTCTGGTTCACACATGATGTTACCCAGCATCTGTTTCCATACCTCAACTTGCCATGGTTTCTTCCACTAAGGCTAGAGAGATACTGAGGACGGAGGGTAGAGGCAGGAACAAGAAAAAAAAAAACGAACGGATTAAGAGCAGGCTACAGGCCAAGAGACTCCTGCAGGGTCAGAGCTTGTCCTTCAGACAAAAGTCCCCCAGGCACCCACTGCCTAAGTCCCTGCTGTTTCCCTGCTTTCTTCCTCCTCAAGGTCCGGAAGCTAGTGCATGACCCTACAGTAGGATCAAAGAAATAGAGGACAGCTGAGACAAGCCGCAAGAGGGCTGCGACTAAACCTACAGCTCGTGGAAGCCCCGACTTCCCAGACCCCTTCGCAGAAGGGCGGAGCGCGTGCTCGGCGCCCAATCCTCGCGTCCGCACGTCGCCGTAGCCCCGCCCCGTCGTGCCCCCTCCCGCTCCGCCCTTCCTTGAGGGCTGGTGCGGCGGCGGCGACGTCGGCGCTAGGAGACCCCTGGGTGGTGGCTGCGCCGTAGGCGGGCCGCGGCCTGGACGCGCTGTGGGGAGGGGCGGAGTCAGCGGGCGGGAGCGCGCGCTGGGCCCGCCTCGGCAGCCGCCGCCGCTGCTGCCGGGGAATGATCTGGGCGGCAGCAGGCGGCCTCGGCTAGCGGCCACAGCGACTTCTGCGGCTGCCCAGAGGAGTAAAGGTCGCCAGTCCCCGTGTCGTCCCCCTCTCCGCCCCCCAGGAGGGGCGAGAGGGAGCCTCGGCTGATGTCAGGTACGGCCGGCGGAGGCGCCCTCAGGCTGCGGGTCCAAGGTCTCGGCTCCCCTCGCCCTCCCTCTTCTTGGGGTGTGTGGGGGCCAGAGTGTGGAGGGTGGACCCAAACCCCAGGCGGGGCCGAACAGGTGTCTCGGGGTCGGAGCCGGGCTGGGGACGTCCGTGCTTCTGAGGAAGGCGCGCGGCACTTCCTGCTCCCGGCGCCTCAGCAGGCAGCTACAGGGGCCGGGTGCCCACCGGGCCGTTATTTTGTCGGCATGTAGCCTTCTCTTCGTCCTGGGTCCTTCCGTTTTGCCTTCTCGCACCCCTCTCCTCCTCCTCCCGCGCTGCCTGGCGTCGGCGGCGAGGCGCGGGCTCTGCCCGGGCGTCTGGGCCGAACCACTTAGCGGTGCTGCCCCGCCGGGCTGCCCACTCCGCCCCCCGGGTCCTCCCCGCCCCCTGCAGACCGGTGAGTCCTGCGGGACTCGGCGCTCAGGTGCGAAGCACATTCCCCGAGAGCCGCTGGGCTGCCGCGCTGCCTGAGCGCCCAGCGAGCGGGCGCCTTCCAGAAGTGCCTGGAGCTTGCTTGGATCATCAGGTTTGTAGCTGATTTATTTCTTTAAGTTTTCCGGCCGCTGGCAGAGTGAACAAGCCAAGTGTGTGTTGGGGTGCTTGCTGCGTGAAGGAGGAGAGGGAAGGGATTTTTTTTTTTTTTTTTGCGTCTCCACTCCCTCTCACCCAACAAAGTGTAATGGGATTAGTAGGCGCTGACAGATTGTCCATCCATAGTGGTTTGAATTTGGGTAAACAGTATACTCTTAAAAGATGGGCTTAATTTAGGGGTGGAGATTTATTCTTTCCTAGCCCTTGCCCTCCCCACTACCCTTATTTTAAAACAAACTTTATATGATCTATCAGTTCCACGAAGAAAAAAATTTAAAAAAAAAGAAAATTAAATAACAAAACCCTACACATTCTTGAAAAGTCGACTAGATTTCTAAAATTCATCGTAGATATCGCGATGTTTCCTCAGATCGAAAACTTCTGCTAACCATGAATTGATTTCATAATGAACAAAAAAATTATAACGTTAGCACATTAATGCATCGGAGTTAATAATTAGGCCAATGTGTAGGGGACAGAAATACGTTAATTTACTAAGAGTTGGGCGTACAACATAGATAGTTCTGCCTAGATGCCAGGAAAAAGTGTTGTGCATAATTTCAAGTTGTTTAATTCTGGTGTAAATTTAGGAAGTGGGCATCTGAGTTTTTAGAAGGTATTTAGATGACAGCTTTCGACTCCCTTATAAGATAAATGTCGAATGAATCCTGTGGACATGGTACTGTGTGTTCTAAGTATTGTATGTATTATAGTGAATTGTATTTTCCACCAGCCTTAGTATATATTGATGTACAGTTTAAGTGAATATAAAATTTTAAGTTACCAAACAGTTAACTCTTTTCACCATATGTTAAGTAAAACAGTGAGATAGTAAGGAAGGTATGATTCATTTAAAATTATTCATAGGAAAAGAGATGGTTTTTCAGTATTAGTGAAGAACTGTTCAATGTCTCTCTTATTAAATTTGCCCGGAATTCATGTTTTTCTGTATCTTTTTACTTGTGATTCAGCATTTAAAAAATATTTCGTGGTTACTACCCATTTAAAGTTTTTCTTAATTATGCTTTTTGAGTAAATTCAACATCCAGAAATTCTTAGAATCTTATCACAAATTTATTTAGGAGTATGTATAATAAATTAATGTTTATCTAATGATAGAAATAAAAGTGTGTCACTAGGCATGTGCTGTCTACTATTTGTATATTGATTTGTGCTAAAATAAAAATTGTATTATACAGCTTAGGTTTATAAACCATGGTAATTTAAAGTCTTCATGTGGTAAAATCATTGATTGGAATTTTTGTGACAGTGCAGCTGTAATAAACCTTAAATAGAAAATGGACAGCTTGATGCTGAAATTCAATTCAGATCCACTTAAAAGTTTAAGCTAGCTTCCCAGTACAACCATCTTTTCATGTAAAAGATTTGTTGAGATTGTATTAAAGAGGCTGGTGTACAAACTACAGCAAGGTTCAAAGAAAGGTAAGATAAAATTCTCTTTACCCCCAATTCAGTAGGATTAAGGTAATTCTTTTAAAAGAAGAATGGAAAAAAAGACTGGTTCCATGAAATGGGAAGTTAGCCTTTTATCTTAAATTTCGGTTAAAGAGGAACCCCAATGTGTACTTAAATTTTTATTTTGTAATTCAAATGTCAAAGAGGAAAATACATGCCAAAATCTGTAATGTGTGAAAATGGAGAGAAAAAAATATATAAATGCTGGTATTGTGAGCTAGGGAAGCCCATAAGAAGGTGGGAGAAACCAAAAAGAAAATCCACATAATTTATCTGGCACCTGTAATACGTGCTGCCTTGCACATTGAAGGGACACGTTGAGGGCAAGGAGAGGCAAAGTTGGGGAGATTCTGGAACTGGAAACCTGATTTATAGCAAAAGCTATATATTAAAGCATATTTAAACTGGTGAAAGTTGGGTAATCATTAGAATTTGAAATTAAATACGAGTTGATGTAGTCATTTGCATTTTTGGTCATCATGTTAGTTTCCTAGGGCTGTCATAACAAAGTACCACAAACTAGGCCGTTTAAAACAATAGAAATTTATTGTCTCAGTTCTGGAGGCTAGATGTCTGATATCAAGATGTCAGTAGGGCCATGCTCTGTCAGGTTTCTAGGGGAGAATCTCTTCCATGCCTCTTAGCTTCTTGTGTCGTTGCGTTTATTGGCTTGCAGCTGTATCACTCCAGTCTCTGCCTCTGTTATCACATGGCAATCTCCCTGTGTGGCTGTCTTCATGTGGTGCTCTCCTCTTCTTAAAAGGACAACAGTTGTACTGGATTGAGGTCCATCCTAATCACCTCTGCAAAGACCCTATTTCCAAATAAGATCACATGCATTAGTACTGGGGTTAGGACTTCAACATATCTTTTTGGGTGATACAATCTAACCTGTAACAGTTACACAATTTATCTTTTTCCAGTGTTCAGTAAATGTTTAGCAGCATGTGACAAACTGAACCAGAGGATACAGTTGGAAGAGAGGAGGGGACATTAAATTTTTTTACATAGACCAGTGATGCCTTAGTTCATTTTCTGTTGCTTATAACAATACCTGAAACTGGGTAATTTATAAAGAAAAGGAATTTATTTCTTACAGTTATGGAGGGTGGAAAGTCGAAGGTCAAGGAATGGCATCTGATGAATGCCTTCTTATTGGTAGGGACTCCCTGCGGAGTTGTGAGGTGGCACAGGGTATCACATGGCAAGGGGGCTGAATGTGCTTGCTCACGGCTCTCTTCCTCTTCTAAAGCCACCAGTCCCTTTCCTGTGATAACCCATTAATCTATGAATGGGTTAATTGAACGGATTAATCCACGAATGGGTTAAATGAATGGATTAATCCACTTGTGGGGGCAGAGCCCTTATGACCCAGTCACCTCTTAAAGGACCCAACTCTCAGTACTGCTACATTGGGCATTAAATTGCAACATGAGTTTTGGAGGGGATGAACATTCGAACCATACATAGCAAGTGCCTACTGTGTGCCAGGTCCTAGAGATTAAACAATTAATAGACAAAAGTCTCTGCCCTCATGGAGCTTATATTCTGAAACATTGGTTCTAAACATGTGGTTGCTGGATTTACAGCATCAGCATTATCTGGGAACTTGTTAGAAATGCAAATTTTTAGGCTCAGCTCTAGATCTCTTGATTTGGAAACTGTTTTAACTAGCCTTCCACAAGATTCTGGTGCAGACACCAGTTTGAGAAACATCAGTCAAGATGGAAAAGAGACAATAAACAAGATTAATAATTAAAATAATATTAGATGTTAATAGGTGCTGTGGGTAAGAATAAGGTGGCCAGAGAAGACCCCCTGAACGGTAAAGACCTGAAGGAATTGGAGTGAGCCATGTGACTGTCTGACTGAGGTATGCTCCCAACAAAGAACAGCAAGTGCAAGGACCCTGGCATGTTTTAGAAACAGCAAGGAGGAGTACAGAGTTAAAATGCAGTGATGGAAACAGTATTAGATTCAATCTATGAAATTGCTGCTAGGAGGAGAGATCAGAAAGCAAGGGAGTAGGATGGCAGATTGTATGAAGATCATTTTAAGGTTTGGCTTTCTCTCTGAGTGAGTTTAGGAAGACAGTGGCAGGTTTGAGCAAATAAGTGCCGTGATCTGATTTCAGTTTTGAAAGGATCACTCTGGCTACTGGTAAAAATGGACTGAAGAAGGAAAGGGGCCATCGCAGTAGTTAGGGAAAAAGAGAAAGGTGGCTCAGACCAGGGTGGTAGCAGTGGAGAGGTTGAAGAGGTATAAGGCTTTAGTACACACACAGTGAATGTAGAGAAAAACAAGCTTTTTTTGTTGTTCCAGTCTAGTTACCTCAGTTACCCAGTTGCCCTCCTCAAAGGCAATGAGTGTTAAAATTAGTTTTTATATATTCTTCCTGAGATATTTCATGTATATATGAGAAACTAAGTTTTAACAGGAGGGGTTCTTAACTTGGGCCTATTTTCTTCCCCAGGGGACATTTGGCAATGTCTAGAGACATTTTTGTTTGTCACAGCTAGTGGTAATGCTACTGGCCTCTAGTGAATAGAGGCCAGGGATGCTGCTAAATGTCTGACAGTGAGCAGGACAGCTCCCACAACAGAATTCTCCAGCTTATAATGTCAGTAATGCCAAGGTTAAGAAACCCTGGCTTTAATGGGATTTACAGATGTTGTAACATAGATGGTGGAGTCAGGAGGGTGTTGTAGTCCAAGATGAGTAGGAATAGAGGAAATGACTGCACTGGGACGTTTTAGGAAATGTAGATAGTTCAGGATTGCTGAAACATAAATTATAAGGCACAGAGTAGTGAATAATGAGGCTGGAAACCAGGCCAGAGTTTAGATCATGGAAAGCCTTTATATGTTGTGTTATTTAAAGAT